TATATTTATTATTTTTTTTAAACAGCCATTATGAGACGTTTTATAATAGTGAGAGTATCATAACATGCAACAGTTCTCCAAGCGAACCGCGCCCACTAAACTCCAGACTCCTCCTCCAGTGTGACTGTACGTGCCCTGCGTCTCTGCGCTCCTCTCTTTCCCCTCAACACCAGACACATCCAGACCACAGACATGGCTCCATAAGGGTGCACATGGCGGCTAGCAGCCATGAACCAAAAACTACAGATGCATCTCCGATTTGATTGATTTTCGATTGATCAACTTCCACCTCCGCCGCAATATTCTTCAATCCGGTTTTCAGCATTCGGGAGAGGCTGCTTGCTTGCAACTCTCTCTCTGTCTCCATTTCCTCCAGACAATTTTACGTTCTTATTCAACCCGAAATAACCGTAGATATCATATTGTACAACAACAGTCATGGGTGTCCAGGGTTTTCAGGAATACATTGAGAAGCATTGCCCCAACGCCGTGGTGCCGGTGGAGCTCCAGAAGCTCGCCCGGGGGAGTCTGGTTGGCGGCGGCCGGCAGAGACCCCCTCAAATTCCGCTCCGGCTGCTAGTGGACGCCGAGAACTGCCTGCACCGGCTCTACGGCGGCTTCTACACCGACTGGGTGAGCGGGGGCCAGTGGAACCACATGCTCGGATACCTCGCCGCCCTCGCCAAAGCCTGTTTCAACGGCAACATCGAGCTGCTAGTGTGCTTCAATGGCGCCCTGGAGAAAGGCCGTCTCCACGAGTGGGTCAAGCGACAGGTGAACGAGAGGCAGACCGCCCAGCAGATCGTCAGCCACGTCCAGAACAAGGGTACCCCGCCGCCCAAGGTCTGGTTCCTGCCCCCGGTGTGTATGGCCCACTGCATCCGCCTGGCGCTCCTCAGGTTCCACATCGGGGTGAGTAGCGACAGATACTCGTTGTGTTTTGACATATGCTGCCATTAGCTTAGCAGAACCAGACCCAGATCAAGTGAAGTGCTCGTCTTAGAAGACAGTAGGTTGGCAGGTAGCAGGTGGCCTAGACGGCTTTCTGGTTGTGTATCTAGCTTAACCAAAACAGCCTAAGATGCCTTGCTGGTCTTAGCTGGTCTAAGCTGGTCTCACAGCCTAGACAAGTTGAAAAGTTCACCAAACCACTCTGAAATCAGTCGTTGAACCAGGCTAGGTTATCAAACTAGGCTGTTAGTGCAACTGTTTTCTTCAGATTTGAATCAAGACCTATACTGGTTTTTATGTAGCATTTTGCATGTATACAAAGATGTTCAAAACAAGATCAGCAGCCGATTTAAGCTGGTCTCACAGCCTGGCCAAGCTGAAAAGTTCCCAAAACCACCAATCTGAAACCAGCCCAGTAGACCAAATTAGGCTGTTATTGAAACTGCATTATTCATATGAAAACCAGTGTAGGTCTTAAATCATATACACAGACAGCTGGTTTGACTTTCTCTGATTGACCGGCTGAAAACTGCCCTATACCTCTCTAAAACCAACGTACAGTCCTGCAAATCAGCTCAGACTGGTTTAAGATTTTGTTTTTTTTACACAGGATTACAACTTGTTGGAACATAAATATTTGGGGTGGGTGTGCAGAGGAAAACAGGTCTGTTCCGATCAGATCTTATTTCCACAGGCAATTGGGGAACATAGAGATGCCAGCTGTACAGGACGTTACTGTCATGTTGGCTTAATAGATGGTGTTTTAGAAATTTGTTTAGAAACAAATCCAAAACTGTGCTAGGACTGGTTTTTTTTTTTTTTTTACATTTTAATGCCTTTAACAGTGCATGCAACTCAAAAAAAAAATGAAAACCTAATATTTTAAAACCATAATCAGATTGTATGGTTTTGGTTCACTGCTTATAAATATATTATTATTAGTAGTAGTATTAGTATTAGTATTATTATTATTATATATTATTATTATTCATATATACATATTAAATATATATTACGCCTTTAATTATACAGTATTTAGACAGTTTTCAACAATATTACAGAGGAAAAAATTAACTGAATGAAAAGGATGCACAAGTGAAAAATGAATGACAATATAAAAAAACTACATGAAGTAATTGTTGTATAAGTGATAACAAAAACATGTATAAAATATTTATTATTTTAATATTTTTACCTGGATCATCAACAATAATTAAAAGTGCAATGTATGTCTACACACTAATAACCTTATGCATTAACAACCAAATACAAACATCCCAGAATAGAATAAAAACATGCATTTATGTATGAATGCTGAAATGAAACCATGTAGTAGTAGGCTGTGCTGGCAAAAGGAAGCGCCACCTCTTCTCTGCTGTGATTGGCTGATGTGTCACACTGTTGTGGCACAAGAATAGTAAGCACTGTTCTGTGATTGGCTGCATGCTCCCTGCGTCACTTCTGCTGAGATTTAGCAGCCATACAGGCTGCGACTAAGTTTATGGGCCCTGTTTTGAGCAGAGAGACATGACTTATGAGATTCTGGCCCATGAATGCTTTTATTTGCATTTATTCGTTTAGTTTATTTTTCAGAGGACTTTCAGCATAAGTGTTTATTATGCTACTAGGATTTTTTTTCTTATCTCCTGTTCTCATAAACATTGGGTCAATACAGAAGCTACGAAATGTGGGGCAGAAAATGTGAAATATGATTGATTTAAAAATGTATATGTTTACGAGTCAAGCCTGGTTTCCTATCAGTTAAAGCCCAGTGAACATCCTCTTGTTCAATAAATAGTTTTAAAATTCACATCACAGCCAAGAATCATGGTTCACTGATTCATTCAAATAGTGCTAATCGATTAAAGCATTTGACAGAGAAACCATTATATGATACAATTAGAAATAACATTTCCCAGACTAATCGTGCCTCACATCCTTTCATGGAAATCTGTGAAACCCTGCAGTATAGTCAATCTCATCAATGTAAATTTGTTTTTGTTCTTCTAATGAGCCTTTCTGTAATTTGCTTCCTCACTCAGGTTGTCCAGACCATCGAGGATCATCACCAGGAAGTGATTGCCTTATTTAGGGAAAATGGGTTCCATGGCCTGGTTGCCTATGATTCTGATTATGCCCTGTGCAACATCCCGTACTACTTCAGTGCCCATGCTCTCAAACTCAGCCGCAATGGCAAAAGCCTCACCACCAGCCAATACCTGATGCACGAAGTTGCCAAGCAACTTAATCTCAATCCAAATCGTTTTGTCATTTTTGCTTCACTTTTAGGTAGGTTTGTAGGATTGCCTGGCAGTTTTCAAGTCAAAATGACATCGCCATTAGTCCTATTTGCTTAATGCATGTTCTTAGTCATATTGTGAAGTAGGGCTGCACAATTAATCGATAATAAATTAATACTGAAAATAAATCGCGATTAGACAGAAGCTGCGATTGTCATGCGTATCTTTCAGTGAAGCACGGTTCTGTGATCATTAGTAAATCACCATCCGAAGGCCAGAGGGCGCTCTATGCAAACAGCTTTCATAATCGCAGAACGATTTATTCGATTTCATAATCGCGCGATTAAATCGTCTGCGATTATGAATGCGATTTTGCGTAGCTTGTCAGTGAACTACAGCTCTGTGTAGTAAATGCTGCTCCATCTGAAAACATGTGATGGAGATTTACTATTAATCACAGAACCGGCTTTACTGACAAGTGCGCATGACAATCGCATTCGATTAATCGTGTAGCCCTATTGTGAAGGATTCAGCTGTGCATGTTTTTCTAAAGACAAAATGGTTTTCTTTGTAATATTTTATCCATCAAATATTTTAATCAATTCAATCAGTTCCTGTGGATAAAATCAAGTCTCGCTTTACATTTTTCTTTTGTAAAGTTTTTTTTTTTTTTTTAATAGTTTTATTCAGCAAGGTTGTTCTAAATTGAAGTGTTATGTACATCATTTTACAAAAAATTATATTTCAGATAAATGCTGTTGTTTTAAACTTTGTGCTCATCAAATCCAGAAAAATCATGGTTTCCACAAAAATACTAAGCAAGGCAACTGTTTTCAACATTAATAATAATAATAGGGAATGTTTCTTGAACAGCAAATCAACATATTAGAATGATTTCTGAAGGATCATGTGAAAATTCAGCTTTGCCATCACACAAAAAATGACATTTTAAATTGCAATATTTCACAACATTACTGTTTAATTAATTAATTAATTAATTTGGATCGATCAAATAAATGCAGCCTTGGTTGAGCATAAGAGACCTCTTTCAAAAACATTAATACATCTAACTGACCCCAAACTTTGTATAAGATTAGGCATGTAAAATATTATGTAAACCATTTGGGAACTGATTTACGTTGACTTTGTTGAATATATTTATTTGTATTTTATTATTTGAAGGTAATTATAATTTATTCGAATATTCTAATTACTTAGTAATATATTAATTATTACAATATTATGCAAACTATTAAGTGTTTTTGTAAGTTTGATTTTCCCACCTTGAATATCTCAAAACTTTCTTGACTGTCTTTATTTACTAATGCAGTAGAAAGAATGGCTCAAATATTATCAATAATGTCACAAATTGTTGAATTTCATGGCTGTTAAATGTTTTCCAGCTGCAATAATGAAGTGTACAAGTTAGTACTTCTGCAATTCATGATCAAATAACTAAATGCTGTTTTTGAAGGGAATCACATACTGCCTGATGAAGACTTGGCTGCCTTTCACTGGAGTTTACTTGGCCCTGAGCATCCTTTAGCATCCTTGAAGGTAAAATCTTGATTTTGCCCTGGTCTCTGCATATACAGGTGCATCTCAATAAATTAGAATGTTGTGGAAAAGTTCATTTATTTCAGTAATTCAACTCAAACTGTGAAACTCGTGTATTAAATAAATTCAATGCACACAGACTGAAGTAGTTTATTCCACGACATTCTAATTTATTGAGATGCACCTGTATATTTGTATGCTTGTTTATTATACCTAGCACAGCACTAAATAACTAATAGCTATTTAAGAACTGTTTTCGCAAACATGCATTTAGTCTGGCTCCATTGTGGTATTCCAGTTGAATATTCTGTTTTACTTGTAAATGCGTCACATAATGGAAATAAATGTGTATAACAATTCAGATACTTCAAGGTTTTCTACATTGACTAATAAATGTTTAAAGGGTGCAAAAATAAGACTTCAGTTCTCATTAGATTCCCTCAGTCATAAGCTACTGTGACCAGTTTCCTTGACAACCAGGTTGAAATGAGGTCTGGCAAATAACTTATCAGGACCATGCAAAATCACTTCAGCATTGTCCTCAACGTGTACCCTTTTGGTTTTAAATACTCGGTCATTGAATCTCGCCCAAACAAATCAAGCACTGCGATTATAAAGGAAAGAGTTGAGCTGAGGAATGGCTTCATGCGTAACCTTCTGTTATCTTGTCTCGGTGTTGGTGTTGCTTGACAGTTGGCTTCATTGATTCAATGTGAGAGAGTAGAGTGGGCTATACTCGATTTTAACACCTGACTTGCTCATCCGTGCGTGCTTCTTTACTCTTTTGTCACCATCACTCTCGGCTCATTTTTGCATATGTCTGTGTTTGTGTCTATAGTTGGTAGTCATTTGATTGTTATTGTATAAAAATGCTCTTTTTTTTGCCGTTTATGATATCCATTGTCAATTGAGCTTGATAAACCTAATATATATGTGCGTGTCTGTAAATGTATTGGATTGTACCCAGTCAGATATGTACTCCTATGATGCCCATCACATTTTAAGCAGAAGGAGCTTTTGCTGGGGGTGTGATGGGTTGTTTTCTCTGATGCAGGTCCGTGCCCACCAACTTGTTCTTCCTCCATGTGATGTCGTCATAAGAGCCGTGGCAGACTATGTCCGCAACCTTCAAGATATCCATGACCTGGAAGCTATTGCAAAAGACATATTCAAGCACTCCCAGGTAACATACCATACCATCAGAGCACCTTTAACAGGATAGATTACCCAAACACTGAAAATTGTCATCATTTACTCAACCCCATGTAGGGCTGCATAATTAATCGGAATAAAAACAACATCGCTGTATGGCTTATTATAATTATCAAACTGGAACTGTGTATATTTATTATGTATATACAAATACACAAACATGTATATATTTAAAAAATATTTACATGTATGTATATATATATATTTATATTCATATTCATATATAATTATATATAAATTTTTACAGATAAACAAAACATATTTTTCTTAAATGTATACATGCATGTGTGTGTATTTATATATATATATA